GAGAGCTGTTTATTTCGTCGACAGTTCCTTCTTAGACCCACAGGCTGGCTCAAAGTCCCTGGGTGGGGCCTGGCTTCAGCATCTTTTCACACTCACTTTTGGTGTGTAGTCAGGTGGCAGACCATGGACATTCAGTCCAAGTCCGGAATCTCCCAATCTTGGCCCAGTGGTGCCGGAGGAGGTCCTGCTGTTTTGTAGAGTTACTATAGGTCTCTGCTGTTTTGTAGAGTAACTCCCCAGGGCAGCTGTCACAAGTCTGCTGCGGCCTGCAGAGAAGGTGTGAGCAAGAAGCCAGGAGGATGGGCTAGGACAGACAGAAAGCAAACAGCTCAAAGGGTGGCAGGCTACATTTTATTCATTGTTAATTTAAATACCCTTCAAGTCCTCTCTTGGAGCAGAGTGCTGCTCCGAAGGAGAAACGTGTTGTTTGGAAGCGCTGCAGGCTTGCCTGCAAACTGGAGCCCCTCTTAGGAACGCAGCATAGAAAATTAGTTGAAAAACCAGGGCCAGCTTCCTGAGGAGGAGGGGCACATTGGTGCAGAAAGACCAGGGCTTCTCAGTGCACAGTGAGGATGGCTTTGCTCTGCATCCAGTGATGGCACACGAAAGGTGTCTGAGGGTGCCAGAGCTGCTCCAGGGGCAAGAGAGTCCAGGTAGGTCTGTGCTGCTGAGCCCTTGTGGGCCAGGAATGGCTCCAGTGGTTCCTTCCGGCTTTCCCACCCAGCAGGAGGAGGCTTCAAGGTTACCCAACTTTATATCCAACAGCTGCAGGAACATATAAACAAAGCCCCAGCACTCAGAAGTGCCCTGAGCTGCTGCCTGATGGGGCTTTCCAGGCGCTGCTATAGAATTGTGCTTTGTTTTCTGAGTGTAAGGGTTACAATAAGATGGACCGGCGTGGCCCACAGGTCCTGTGGTGGCTGCCTTGGTGGGCTCCTGTTGGCCTCTGTATCCTCAGAAACTTCTCTGGTCATAATGCAGAAAGAGGGGCCTGCTTGGGGGTTGGGGGTGTTAGGGACAAGAGGCTTCAGGGTCATATGAGCAGCTATTTCTTAGGGTTGGGCTTGGATGCTGGCTTCTGCGTAACACACAGACACATGCATGTTGTACATAAAAGTCCCTCAAAGTATCTGTCTGCAGGAGATCTCTAGATTTCTAGAGAATGAAACAGGAAAAGTCTTTCTTCTTTAAGTGGCCCCAACTGGGATGATTCAAGGGGGAAAGGGCTAGTAGCTGTTTGTAAGGCTGCTGTGTGTCCATGTGCATGATGGGCAAAAGTCAGGGCTCCCTAACTCTGTTCATGGACTGAGAGCCTAAGTCTTCAGATCCCACCAGGTCCAGGGCCTTGGGCTTCATTCAGAGAACACAGGGGTTGACTACATGGCTTTAGTAAGCAAGGACATGAAGGGTAGCCTTTTTACCTGCCTGTTCAATTCCATGAAGGCCTAGAGCCCAGGCCCTCGCTTCTGGCTATGTGGTCACAGCCAGAAGGCAAAGATTATGGGAATCATACCATCTTTATGAGAGCCTAAAGCCCAGTAGGACACTGTGAATGTGGGCCTTAAGCAGCTGAGCTGGAGCAAACCAGAGTTGATGGCAGCTGAGCTGCCAGCCGTAGATTAGACTAGAGACGCCCATGACCATGGAAGAGGTCTTGGCATCTGAGGACATGGAGCCCTTCTTAGGAAATGGGGCCTGAACAATGTCATTGTTTCCAAGATGACCAAAGAGCCTATTTTTGCTTTTTGGTGCTCCTACAAGCAGGAAGTCACACCACATAGGTTTAAGGCTCTACCAAGTCCCTGGAGAGCCCCAGCTTTTCAGGAACTCAGCACCAAATCCTTTGGTATGGGCAGAGAATGGTGATACACTGTACCAATGAGACTGAGACTATTGTGTGATGGGGACCAGAGAGACATGGGTAAAAATGCCACTGGATCCTGAGTTATGACTGTATTTGGAGGACTAGCATTTCTCTGAGAAGTTGTGAGAGGAAAGGAAAAGGGGGGACTTCCCTGCCCTGCCCCCCCTCAAATCATGCTTAAGCTTCCTTTAGAAGCTTGCTCAAACTGCAGCAAATTGTCTTCTTGCAAAGCCAAAGCATAGGAAAGGAAGTGAAAACAGCTAAGGCTGTGCAGCATAAGCAGTTTAGAAGAAGCAGTGGTGACAGAGGAGACTGCCAAGGAATGTATAGCACTTCTCTTCCCTGGAGGAAGAAACTGGTCCCCCAGGGAGATAGGATTCTGTGCATGCAGTGTTATGCATTGGTCAGTGGGGTGGCCTGGGTGCCTCATTATGTCCACCTAGTCATGGTGACTCAGTAGCTAGACTCAGGCCTCCTGAGTCTCAGGCTCCCTTCCCCAAGGGCAAGTTGCTATTTTGCCGGGTCCAGATGCCTCTGCCATCGGGATCTCTGCTTCCCTCTCTGGATGGCTCAGTTCCACAAGTTATTTCCCGTTGCCTAGGTGACATCTCTAATTGGATGCGTTTTAATCTGTTCCTCTTTTAAAAAGATAAGGCTGGCACTTTACTTCCAGGTACTGTCAGAGGTCCTGTACTGGGGATATGCTTCTTGGAGTATGTCCCTTCTTGGGACTGAAGCCATTATTCAGATGGTAACTCATAGGCTGGCCTGGATGGATAGTCACAGTGGTTCCAGGAAGCAGGGCTTCTGGAGGGGCCTACCCTTTAGATTTAGCAAGACAGCCTCTCCCCTGCCAGCCCTCCCTCACTGGTTTTACACTAGATTAGAGCCTATGTTTAAAGACCAAACCCAAAACCAGATTAGAAATTACCCAAAGTAGCCTAGTCATTGGGATTCCAGTTTATTTTTTGCCTTCCTGCCTTAAACTGGAAGGGGGAAGAGGAGTTTGACATTCAGGCATGACTCTTAATGTGTGTGTCTACATGTACGAGCGTGTGTGTGCATGCACACATTTGCCAAGGAGGGGGAGGTCAGAGCATCTTAGAACTGATACTGATGGTGCTTTTGTAAAACTTCCTATCAGAAGTGGTATGTATTGGGTCAACATTGTGTTATAAACTCTTGACACTTGTCCCTAGTGTTGATGTTCCTTTAGATGAAACAACAGGCTGACAGTTTTTTTTACAGCCCACAAACCCTGTCTTTTTTTTTTCTTTTCTTTTTTTTTTTTTGTCTTTTTTTGAGACAGGGTCTCCCTGTAGTTCCAGCTGGCCTGGAACTCACTATGTAGACCAGACTGGCCTTGAACTCACAGAGATCCGCCAGCCTCTGCCTCCTGTAAGCGCTGGGACTAAAGGCATGCATAAGTCTGCCCAGCAAACTCTGTCCTAAAGCCTTGGATATCTAAACTTCTTCCTGATTAAGGACCTGCTTGCTGCAGAGGGTGAGTCTAGAAGATTCTGTCCCTCACCTTGAGGATCATCCAGAGCATCACTTTGATTGCACGATTACTCCCATCCAGGATTTCTGGCAACTCCTTTTTCCCTGCCTTCTCCACCTCCAATGCAGACTTGTGCAGAGAGGAAATAAACTCACTTGATTATTTGGGAACTACACAGGATTCAGAATGGGATCTTGTTGCTCCTGACCCCCAAACACTCTATGGGTACAGGTCCTAAACGCCCTGACATGTTGTAGCTTGGCTGCTTTGGGTTCCTGGTGTTGAAGGCCTGTGTCTCCAAGGGGTACCTGGCAGAGCCTTGAATCAGAGAAGGAAATGTGGTGGCTGGGGGGCTGTGCTCTCTAGAAAGGGGATAAAAACCGAGCTGATCAACAGTAGTTAAGAAAACAATAGGGGCTGGAGAGATGGCTCAGTGGTTAAGAGCATTGGTTACTCTTATAAAGGACCCAGGTTCTGTTACCAGCACCCCAGGTTCTGTTGGCAGCTAACAACCACCCATAACTCCAGTTCCAGGGGATTCAATGCCCTCTTCTGGCCTTCATGGGTATTGCATGACATGGGTGCAGTTACATACATGCAGGCAAAAGTCATGTGTGACATAAAAAAATAAAGTTAATAAAAAATACTGTTTTTAAAAAAAGAAAACAAGCCAGGCGTGGTGGCACATGCCTGTAGTCCCAGCACTCAGGAGGCAGAGGCAGGTGGATCTCTGTGAGTTCAAGGCTAGCCTGGTCTACATAGTGAGTTCCAGGACAGCTGGGGCTACAGGGAGACCCTGCTTCAAAAAGACAAACAAAACAAAAAATAAAGAAATTAAAAAAAAAAACAATAACAAAATCTCCTAGACCTTCCTGGTTAATAACCTGACACATTCCTGCCTGTGCATGAAGCTTGTGAATTGAAAGGAGGACTGGGGGCTCTTCTCAGAGATGTCCTGACACACAGCAGGACTGAAGTCTGAAAGCTCCTCTCCTGCAGGTCCCCCTGGGTTTCCACAAGTAGAAGTTGCGAAGTGGACTAACTAAAGGCTGGGAAAGGCCAGCTAAGCCCCTCACCATTTGCAATTTCCAAGTGTGGGGGGAAAACGCCACCGTCTGTCGGTTAGTGCTGTTTCGTCTCATTGCATAATACTACAGCGTTCCCTGTGTGTAGCGGCTGTTCTATATATATACTCGGGGAGGCAACATATGGCTCTCCCCACCCCCACCTGTCAAAACTGTGACTATATCACTTCTGACGACCAGAAGGAAGCTGCTAGGCTGGGCCAGGATTCTAAAGGCTGAGGAGGTAATTCAGAGCCATGAAAAGCTGCACCATATGCTTAGAGGTTGCCAGCTGCTTATATGCATGGGGAAGGCTTTAGTGCCCGGTTGCAAAGCCCAGGAATGGCACTCTCCTTGCTGCATTATGCACTGGGTGGGGGTCTGGGGTGTCACCTTTTCTCTTCCTCGAAGGGAAATTTGTTGCGGGGACGGGGCGGGGAGTGGGGCATGGTTCTCCAAGAGGGAATTCACAAGGAACAGACAGGCTCACCTACGACCTGCCCTTGATAACAGAAGGCCTGGCCAAATAGTATTTCTTTAAAAAACTTTTTTTTGTGTGTGGTTGTTTTTGGTTTCATTTTTATTGGATAAAGATTAAGAGCGCGCCAGCTCTGAGAGGAGTTAAGCAAACCCGCCCGGCGGCGCGCAGCCAGGATACAGTCCACGGCGCAGGGGGCGGGCGGCCGCTCTACCTGGAGGTAGCGCTGGTCTCCGCCAGCCGGTTGTTCATGATGCCCAGCGCACCCACGCCCCCGGAGAAGCCGTTCTGGCGCGTGTTCACGCACACGCTGCGCGGGTAGCCGTTGGCGGTCTCCGACAGCTGCTTTTGCAGCAGCGCCAGCGACACCTTGTTGGACGCCGTGAGGTCGCGCATGGAGATGAGCTCGCCCGACAGGCGGCGTCCCTCGGCGTCGCTGTCGTGGGCCCCAGGGTCGGCGCCCAGCGCGGCCAGGCGGCGGCGCAGCCGGGAGCCCGGGGTGATGGCGTTGCGCCGGGCCAGGGGCGCGCCTGGCGCCGGGCAGCAGCGCGCGCAGCAGCGGCAGCTCAGCTTGCGCAGCATCCAGTTGAGCACCTGCTTGATGAGAATGGAGATGACGTTGAAAAGCGAGTAGATGCAGCACACGCCGAGCAGGATGAAGAGGAAGTTGCCCAGGCGGTAGAGCCCCTGGTTCCGGTAGGCGGCGTGCTGGCTGCTCACCAGGTCCCCGAAGCCGATGGTACTGAAGGTGACGAAGCAGAAGTAGAGCGAGTCCACGTAGTCCCAGCCCTCCACGCTGGTGTACATGGCCGAGGCGCAGCACGACAGCAGCACGGCGAACAGGCCGAGGATGAGCAGCACGTGGTACACCGAGGGCTTCCAGCCCGCCAGGCTGTCGGCCTCCGACAGCGCCGAGCCGCGGCGGAAGGTGGCGGGCAGCAGGCCACTGCGGCGCAGCTGGCGTTCCCGGCATGTGCGCATGATGAAGGCCAGCAGCGAGATGATGCGTTCCAGGAAAAGGTTGAAGAACAGGATGGTCCCCGCACAGCCGAACAGCCCGTAGGCGATGAGGAAGGCCTTCCCTCCCACTGTCGCTGGGGTGGTCATGCCGAAACCTGTGGAGATAACAGCCAGGATCAGCGAGAGCAGGCGCAGGTGTGTGGCAGGCGAATGCAGGTGCCAGTCGGGTGAAGGGGGACAGTGCTTGGATGTTTCCCTCCCTTGGTGGCTCCTGATCTCGGCAAATCCCAAAGCAGTGGTGAAGACAAGCCCCCCCCCCCCCCCTTTTTTTGGTCTTTTTGAGACAGGGTCTCCCTGTAGCCCCAGCTATCCTGGAATTCACTATGTAGACCAGGTTGGCCTTGAACTCACAGAGATCCGCCTGCCTCTGCCTCCCGAGTGCTGGGATTAAAGGCTTATGTCACTACACCGGGCCAACAAGCCCTTTTTAATGGATGGGGCAGATAGTCACTAGGATAGACCCAGCAGGATACACCAAGCACCAAGCAGCAACAGGTGCACACAGATGCAAGCCACTGAGATGTCCACAGTCAAGTGACACCTGTTCCCCTCAACTGAGGGTTTTTTTTTTTTTCGGTCGTCATATGAAAATTACTACTGTGTTTCCATCACCAAACAGCCTCCACTCCGGACCCAGGAGGGGCCTGTTATGCACACCTGGGCAGACAGCCTTGTTGGGCTGGAATTCCAGAAGCGCTTCTTCTAATTGGGATTGCTTACTCAGGGACCAGCAAGAGAGAATGGTCAGATAGCTCTTGTTCACTTACCAAGCTCACAGAAGGATTGTTAGGGGACCAGTTCCCCCTACTAGAGTGTGAATGTGGATCTGTCACCAGGCTTCAGAGCCTCCACTCCCCATGACCACTATCAGTTACCCTTGCTCACACTGTGGTGGAGGTTTTGTCCTATACTTAGGTGGCTCCTTGTTGCTTTGAACCCTTAAATTAAGAGATAACGTACCTAATTTGTTCAAAGCAGGATTGAAAGGAATCTTTATCACTGGATTCCTGCAGAAAGCCTGGCTGTCAGCTCGTGTGCTCATTACAAGGCAGTCCACAGCTCTGCTTCTGGCAGCTCTGCTTCTCCAGCCTTATTTCTCTGCTTGGTGCAAGCTGCAGTCTCCTTATGGGACCCAAAGTTGCCTAATGCAGGTGTGTGTGTGTGTATCTGTTGTTACTGGAAGATTCACTTGATGTTTCGAGTCCACCAGCACATTTCCACACCTGTGGTAGCAAAACTTCAGAAGGGTTCCAGTTGGCTTACCATCTTCTTAAATAGGCTAGAGAAAATATTTCTTACAATACTTGCAAAATCCTTAAACTTGTATGCTAATCATTTTTCTTAATTCCCTGGAGGAACTGTCCAAGTTGCCTGTTCATTTTATACTTAATGACTCAAGTTCAGGGAAAATTCCAATGACATTACTCTCTGAGAAAGATGGGATATATTGCTGCATTCAGAATTTGGCCACAAAAGAACTAAACAAAAAAAATAAGAACAAAATAAACAAAAGCTTAGTGGTTTACCCAGGAACTTGAAAGAAGGATTTTATAATACTTTAAAGCCAAACTTAAGCTCCATGATAAGTTGGAGGCCAGCCTAGGATACAGAAGACCCTGTCTCAAAAACCCAATAAAAAAATAAATGAAAATTTGTAAGTCTTAAATTGATAACTCAGGTGTCCAGCAATGTAACTAAATCATGGTCTATTCACTATAAGGAAATAATATACATCAAAAAGCATGAACCACATCTACTTACAATGTGATGAGTCTCAGAAAAAGAATGTTGAACAAAAAAAAGCTGTACACAAAAGGAAATAATCTGCATTATTCCTTAAAGTAAGATACAAAACCAGCCAAATGAAACTCTGATTTTTTTTTTTAAAGGGATGCATATTTGGTTAGTTGGGACTTCCTCTAGGGTGGGCAGAGGATAGTGACTTACATGCAGGTGGCCTCAAAATGTCACAGGAGTGCTAGCCCAATCTAATGTGTAGAAATGTATATTTTATGAGTTTTCTTGTACTTTCATCATAAGAAAAATTCTTTCAAAAAAATTTTATTTTTAATTATGTGTACATGTGTGTTCGTGGGTTTATGTACATGAGTGCAGTGCTGTCAGAAGCCAGAAGAGGGCTTCAAGCCTGGAGTCTACACCAGTGTACACAACACTGCTTCTACTCCTTCAGGGAAGCAAAACCCGTAGTAGAGGGAGTCCTTTGTGAATTCCTAAAGAAATGGAGAATCCTAAGCCTGGAAAATTGGTGCTTAGTCTAGTTAAGAGAATGCTGAATTGGATTTTCTTGTTCTTTAGATTTTCAGCTAAAATTGCAAAACTGAGAACAACCCACGACATGTAATTCCTCATTCTTCTTCCTCCTCCTCCTCCTCCTCCTCTTTTTTTGTTCTTTGTGGCAAGGTCTCATGTAGTTCAGGATGGCCAGAGATTTATCAGGTAGCCAAGGCTGGCCATGAACTTTGATCCTCTTGCTCCACCTCCAGAATGCTGATACTGCAGGAGTGTGATACATTAATTGCCCATTCTAAAAAGACATTCAAGCCGGACATGGTGGCACACACCTTTAATCCCAGCACTTGGGAGGCAGAGGCAGGTGGATCTCTGTGAGTTCGAGGCTGGCTTGGTCTTCATACTGAGTTCCAAGCCAGCTGGGGCTACAAGGAGACCAAAAAAATAAAAAATAATAAAAAGACATTCTAGACATACTTATGCTGGTCTTACTAAATAGGTGAAATGGATTTGACAATTAGAGCCTCCCATCTATGCCCCAGCTGTATGAAATGCTTAACTTACCCAGGTTTTGGTGGAAAATGGGCTTGAGGTAGAAGAGCCTTTGTGGAAGTGGGTATGTGCAGGAAGGTTCTCTCCACCACTCACATGCCAGGCACAGCTGTGGAGGGCTGTCAGGAGAACCTTGGGCTTTAGCAAGAGGAGAGCCAGGAAGCTCTCCCAGCTTGGGTGCAGGCTGAGCTGCAGATACAAGCACCTGAGCGCATGCTGGAGTGGAATTGTAGGGAGAATTCCAAGACAGGCAGACAGTGCCCCTGGAGTCTGAGAGACTGTGTTAGCAAGTGCTCTAGTTGAAAGGTTGATGGGGCATGCACAAAGGAAAGGGAGGAAGAGGACAGTAATGGAAAGTGTTTACTGCTAGAGTGCTATAGTTTGGGTCTTCTGAGTCACTATTCAAGGCATCCTTCTGCCTCATCTTCCCCAGAAGGTGATGTACGCTACTGTGCCTGGCTTATAGTTTGAATCTTTTGCCTGTGGGGGGGTGTTTTGGTTAATTTTTGTCAACTTGACACAAACTAGAGATAACTGATAAGAAGGAGCCTCAGTTGAGGAATTTCCTGCATTGAACTGGTCAATGGCCATGTCTGTGAGGCATTTTCTTAATTGGAAATCAATGTAGGACAGCCCAGCTCACTATGGGCAATACCATTCCTTGGCAAGTGGGCCTGGGCTGTATGAGGAGGGTAACTGAGCAAGCCAGGGGAGCAAACAAGCCAGTAAGCACTGTTCTTCCTCCTTGATCTCTGCATCAGTTCCTACCTTGAGTTCCTACCTGACTTCCCTCAAAGATGGATTGTACCTTAGAAGTGTAAGATAAAATAAACCCTTTCCTCCTCAAGTTGGTTTTAGTCAGTCTTTTGTCACAGCAACAGAAAGCAAACTAGATCTCATTTAGCACAGGTTGGCCTCAAACTTGCTGTGTATCTGAGAATGACCTTGAACTCCTAATTCTCCTGCCTTTACCTCCCAAGTGCTGGGATTGCAAGCATTTACCACCATGCCTGGCTAGTTGGGATTTTGAATGTCTCTGAAAGGCCCATAGGTTGAAGGCTTGATCCCTAGGCACTACTGGAAGTGGTGGAACCTTTGAGGTGGGGCCTTACTGGCCTTTAGGCCTCTGGGGGCATGTCCTCACAAGGGGATTGTGAGACTCTGGTCTCTTTTCATTCTCTTTTTGCTCTTTGGCCATAAGGTGAGTATTTGTTGGTTGGTGAGTGCTGGGGATTAAACTCTGAGCCTTGCCTAGCTCTGATCTACTTACCCACACCCTAGGTGAATGGTCTTGCTCCACCACACACTTCCCCCAGGATGTCCTGCTTCACCACAGGCTCCATACAATGAGCCCAGAAGATAACAATTTCAACCTCCAAAATGATGAGTCAAAATAATTGTTTTTGCTTTACAAGTTGATGATCTTGAATATTTTGTTATAGTGAGACTGCCGAGCAACATATAGGGATTGCAGCCTCAAGGTTCAAGGGTCAAGAGGAGACTGGAAGGAAGCGATCTGAAGAGACCACCCTAGAGAGCTGCTCCTGGCTTCAGAGAGCCTAGAATGAGTCTTAATCTTGAAAATGGTACTAAAAAAAAGAAAAAAAAAAAGAACAAAACAAAGCAAAAGCTATTTGGAGGCTCTGGCATTTATTTCTATAAATGCTTTTAAGGGATGCAAAAAGAAGTTCTTAAAGACAATAGATGGCGATAAAGCTGCTCTGTGTGTGGCCATTTAACAAATCAGCTGTACTGCATTTGCTCTGTGTACTGTGGCAGCCTGGCATGTATCCACTAACTGCATCTGTACAACCTGTAAGGATGCAAGCCCCACGCCACGGATGAAACCTTGGGTTACAGGCAAAGCAGTTGCTGAGGTACCACGTCTAGGAAGTCTGCTGGTATCGAGCATCCATACTGCCCAGTACATGAGCACCAAAAGGACCACTCTTAGAACACCAAATTGTAGTCCTAGTGTTTTTGTGGGAGTGGAGTGGGGAGCATTGTCCCTAAGTATCAGGACATCTGTTCCTAAGAGTCTTCTGTGGCTCTGTCCCCTGATCATGCACCACTATTCTTACTTTAACAAGGTGGACCTGCCTTCCCCTCACAGAGAAGACAAGCTGGTTATTAGATAAGAGCTGATCCAGGGCTTCGGGACAGCATTTGGAATGAGATGCTGCTTCTGGCTAACAGTCTGGCTGACCACAGGCAAGGTACTTACTTATCTATCCCTTGGGGTTTCCACAGGCCCACCCTGCTCCATGTATAAGACTTCCAAATCCCCCTCCCA